TGAGAGAAAACTGATCAAGGCCTGTAGGGCCGAGATTACTTCTTTCTCTCACAGAATGGACAGCTTGAGGCTAATATCCAACTTAAAACATTACCTTCATTGTTTTAAGAATGGACACAATCAAGTTAACCTGTTGACAATGCTGATAAATATATTTCTTAACTTTGAACAATAAAACCAGTGTTGCATAGAACTTTCTGTTGTTCACTTAATGGATATGCAGGAGGTTTATATAGCTGTGCTGTAAAAATTTCATATTCATTCACTCTTCTACTAAGCAACACCATCTCATTCTTTATTGGGGAGAGCATTTCTTATTTAGCAATATTTAAGGATGTAAAAGATGGACTGCATATATTAACACTGTGATAATCTGGATATGGAGGGTGGGAATGTTGTGCCAACTTTTGATATGACTTAAAATTACAATATCATTTGATGAAATGATTAAGCCAACCAAAACAAAGAATGCATTGACCGACTCAGATGCAGAAATTTTTCCAGGGGTGTGGAGGAGGTTGACGGTCAAGGTTTAGTTTTATGAACCTTTTTCCTATGTAGTTCGGATGATCAAGAATTAACTTTTAGATTGTGAAGAATATGATTTTTAATGTAGTGCAGTGAAATTTGTTACAGTGTATGTTCTGATCATATCTGATGTGATTTGTGGTTACCAGTTATTAATATGATAAAATGCATTAATTATACCCCCGCTCTGAAGGAGAAGGGGGTATACTGTTTTACCCTTATGTGTCTGTCTGTCTGTCTGTCCGTAACAAAAATTTTTGTCGTATTTTTCTCAGCAACTATTCATTGCAGGTGCTTAAAATTTTAACACACTATTTGTTTAGGAATTCTATACACTTGGATATATTTTTGTACACATTTTTTGGAGGTCAACTTCCTGTTTAAGTCCACTTTGCTTATTTTGTATATTCACATTAGAGCGGTGGTATTACTAGTGAGCATTGGCTCACAGATATCTTGTTTTGATTCCTGATTCTGAAAAATGGAGTAGATGTATATCATACTGGATAATATATACTAAATATAAAAGCTAAAAATAAACAAAGGATTGGGTAAAAAAAAATGGTTTAAGATGGGTATTCAAGTTTAGGCAATATTGTTCTGCTTTTCTATTTATTTTTCTTATAGTTTTTAGGAATTAGAAAAAGATGGTCATTTTACAATTGGTGATGATCTTCATATGTAAGTTTGCTTTTTACTTAGAAATAACCAACAGGTTAAATAGGCTAACTATTCAATCATTAATAGAATAAAAAAAAAATTGGCCTCTGTAGCTATAAAGGTATAGACAATTCAAAATTCCTCGGACTCTTGAACTACTCCCCCATGTGAATGAATCTAAAATAATAAAGGCAAGGTAACAGTCATAGGACTCCAAGATAAGGGTTTAGAACTCAAAATGAAGCTGAAAATGCAAACATGAGACTCTGACATGTCAATCTAAGGGTTATGGGACTCAAGTGACTGTCAAGGCCTCTTGTTGTTTATATTTTCTGTTGTCTTTGCTTTGTCAGTTGCTACCGGTTTGTCAGTATATCACACAAATATGTGTGGTTTAAATTCAATATCAAAAGTATCAAAAGCTAATGAACCAATCAGATCCATGTTTGAAGCCAAGAAACTAATATCAAGTTTCATTTCAGAACTTTAGTTCAGTACTGCTACATGCAGATTATCAGAGAAGAATTGGAAGAAGTGAAATTTGCCTGGAATAACCACAGAATCAGGAAACAAAAATCAGGTGATATTGTTCCTGGGATACCTGAGCTCCTTTATCATGTTCCTGAAATGTTAGGTCAGTTTACTTGTTTTGATTCTGGAATCATTTACAAAGTGATCAAATTTCGGTTCACATATTTTTTTTTTGCTGAAAGTAAAAATAGGTTTGTATTTGAAAGTTCTTTAGATTCAATTTTTTATATGTAACTCTTGTGGACACTGTTAAAGACTACAATGCTGGATCAACAGACTTTTGTACATTTGTTAACTGATTTTTTTTCTCATAGAAAATTGTGTATAAATGAACTTAAAATCAAGAAATTTCATCATAAGTTGCTTACAAGGAACTGTGTTACAAAAAAAGCTTTATACCAGACATTTCCCCATTCCTCTTGTGTTAAAGTAGCATGTACATGTATATATCTATAGTAACAATTAAAGAAAGTTAAAATTTTGGCCCCTGTCAGAGTATCTTTTAGTTAAAAATTTGTTGGAATTAAAAATGCATGAAATTTAAAGTCTCTTTTTAAAAGATCATTTAATATGTTGACATACATGTATATATAACCTCTTAACCCCATCTTTCCAAGTCAAGAGTTTCTGATCTGCTCCTCTCTACATAAACCCTTGATCGAATAGGCAGTTCGTCTCAAATTTATTTGACAATGATTCAACATTGATCAATGCACAATTAACATCATTATTGAAACCACGTTTCTTATTGGATCATGCAAACTTGTATGACACCAACCAGCGTGCGAGGTTTCTAACCCAGCCAAACACTGCCTATTCGGTCAAGGGTTTATGTAGAGCGGAGCGGATCAGAAAGTCTTGACTTTGAAAGATGCTTAACCCACAAGAAAATGACTTGTTTCGCTGTGTAATACTTTTATAAGAGAAAAAAATTGCAATTGTTTACCTATGTCCTATGAAACACATCGTTTAAGAACAACAAGGTCACAAATGATTTAATATATACAAAGTATTTTCCTATGAAAATGTAAGAATTTTTCCAAAGGAATTTTATATTGAAAACTGAAAAACATGTTTAGTTAATTGTGTATGATGTTTTATTTCATTTTTTATTTCAGGCAATCCACAGTGCCAAAATTATCTTCATTATATCGATGTTAATGATGAGCGGTTTCATTTTCTGAAATCTCAATGCTGCTTTCAAAATGACTTGGATGATGACATTAAGGAAGCTTTTGACATCATCTCAGACTATTACCGTCCTTCAACAATATTAGAAGCCAGAACTATGTATATTGCACTCAAAGATGTATTGGAACACCAAATATATCATTAATTTTTTTGCTTTTTTTTCGGGTATTTTATATCCTATTCTTATAATTAATAATATATTCTATAAATTCTGGGTTGTGTATGTTTAATTATGAACATCTGTTTGTACACATCAAGTACATGTACATTGTACATCGTCAGGAAACATATTATATGGGATGGGAATTGTAAAACATGTACAAATGAAAAAAAAAACAATAAAAAAAATATCAATGCATTGAATTTTAATTTATATTATCCAGTAGTTCTTTTAATGTTCTTTATATTACTTGGGAGTTTAACCAGTGAATGCAAATTTAAAGAGTCCTGCAACTTACTACTATGCCTCCCAGATAACAATTTCACAACTTGTTGACAATGTGACACTACTGAAGAGTGCTTAAAAAGTTATAATGTAAATACTTAAGTAAGGCATTTCTAATGCTCAACCAAAATTTGAACATCGGTCGTCAAGTTGCAAGTGAGATACATAGCACACAATTCTTTGTTATGTAAACAAATCTCGAGTTATGTTTTTGTTTACATTTTGAATTTTCCAGGTTTAGACCTAAAATGAATCCGACAAATGCTAGAAACTACTTGTTTATGTTCAAAACTAATCAGAAGAAAGAAAAATCAGTTTGAAAAAGATCTTTTTTTGCTATTTTGACCAAATGGAAACAAAAACATGATCGGAGCCTTGTTTACATGACAGAAAAATTTGAGATCTGTATCTTGCTCATATCTGTAACTGACGCTCAAAGTTGGTTTATAATTAGAAATGCATTTTAAAGCATTTTTAAAAATGAAAGCAGAAATATCAAATTTGACCATAAGCGAGACCATGCCGCTTGATAGTAATGAAGTTAATGTTTAACTTGACTGAATTTCAAACGAAACTTTTTGGGCAAAAACTCACGTTCTAACCAAGTACAACATGATTACAGTGAAGCACCATGTATAAGTGATTTTGGTTGGTTATTTCAATACATCTACTTAACTTACCAATGCATTAATAAAACTTGCTTTAATGAAATATGAATTTATAATAAAAAAAAAAAGCTGTATTTGAGTTTTACTGTAAGTCCTTCAACCTAGATTAAGCAATATAATAATATAAATAGATGTTGGATTAACGATATTTGAAAGTGATTAATACTTGAATGAATCAGATTCTGAAACTAGGATTAGTGAACTGATACTCTGTAAAGGTCAAAATTTCAGTATCAAAATAAAAAAAAAGTTCAGGTGTAATGGGATGCCTCCATATTTTGGATATTGTTCTGATCAAAATATACCAGAAGAATCAAGTATAATTTTATGAATCATTCCTTACCCATAATTGTTACCAAACGGTATATAACAATCGGTTTGTCTACAAATCTTTCATGTCACGAGTTCCAATACTGCTGGGGCTTTTATAATTTTGACTTTTCCAAAAATATTTTAAAGACTCTTTTTGGTCAAATAGGTACCATTTTAAAATTCTAAAAAGGTGTATTTTGATCGTGTACTTTTATCCACATTAAAGTGGATTTAGTGAAAAATTCCCTTTGGGGCGATGGAGAACAAAAATAATAGTACATTGGTTATATCTGACCTTGATTCATTTTTAATAGTTCCTCTGTCAAGATACCCACTTTTTACATTCAATTTGAGGATAAACAGTTGATCACTGATATAATAATAAGATATAATAAAGAAGAAATTGAATATTGTGTTATTTTTTATGTTTATTAAATTGTACAGGATCATTCCAAACATTAATCCTTTCCAAATCCATGCATTGATGATATTTTCTGTTTTTTTATTCGCTCTATTAATGGTTGATACAAAGCAGCCATATTGCTGTCTATGAAAAAAAATCTCTGCTCATAATGATATCAAATGCTCAATAATGAAAAATGGTACTCTATACAAATGTGATGGGGAAAAGAAAAAAAAAACTGCTACAAATTTATATTCTCTTGTTACATGAGAACATCCCCAAATCCAGTGAAAGTTTCTTCTGTGGCAAAATACTATAAAAAAAAAAAAAGAGAAGAATAAATTTCCTCACGTAATTTCATTCAAATTTTGTATCAATTCTTTTATGAGACTTAATTTATGTCTGTTCATGCAAAAGCAATTCTTGCTTGTGTTCAACTTTTCATTACAAAATGATAAAGAACCTTACTTTGTGATAGCAATGTATATGCAAGTATAAAATGCATTTTCTTAGTGGGCATTGTCAATTCTTAGTGGGCATTGTCAATTAATGATGGTTTCTGAAATACCTACCGCTTCATGCAGGTATAATATATTTGGCAAGTCCCCCACTTTCACTTTGAAGTTGTTTTTTAGTTCATAAATGTGCGGGCAACTGGGGTTAGGGCAGTTGGTGGGTGTGCGACACTCCAAGTGGAAAACGTGGGGGGGGGGGAGAATTTCAGGATCGACCTCCACGCATATCCAGCTGAAAACGCTCTGAAAAGAATATAAAATAATTACTTAATAATAACTTGCACGACTTGTACTTTGTGTTGATTTGCACTGCATTAATTACTCATTATAATACAATTAACCTTGCAAGTAAGTTAAAAATTTAAATCCAAATCATCAAATCTATTGAGGGCAAACAGGGATTATACCTATTAGATTTATTGAAAGGGCAATTTAAAGCTGAACCCTACTCGTAAATGGGCACCATCACACAGTTATATAAACCATTCGATTAAGTTACACCCAATTGCACACATGAAACTCGACGTGTAGTTTTGATGTGTAGTTTTCCTTTCGTGGTCTTTGGATTTTATGCATTTATTTCTTTTCTATGTACATATTCTATTTCTAAATATTTACACTTTCAACTCTCTTTGTCTGTGATAACATTACATTTTGAAGCCTATAGCCCAATAATTTCATAACAAGAGGCCCATGGGCCTTATAGGTCACCTGAGTATCATGCAACAACTTTCCAACAATTGAATTTGATTCATGTCTTAAACTAGAGGCCATGAAATTTACAATTTTGAAAGAGGCACCATTGCTTATCATAATTATACACTCAGCATGCTAATTTTGGTTACTTAAAACCCAGAGGTAGATCAGAGCAACAAAGAGAAAATGCATTTCCACTTTTAGTGAATTTCATGGCCCCTGGGTCAGGGCTTCTTATGTGAGGGCGGGTCCATAGTTGAGCTCCCCATCCCACAGGAACCACTGACCCTGGGGCCACATCTTTCGAAATTTTGGAAATTTTTAAAAATTTTATTTCATCATGCTGTTGATTAATACCAAAGTGCAAACTTCAAAGCATTAAATTATTTCAGACTATGTTACCCCCCCCCCCACCCCAAAGTACCTCTGCCCCAGGGGACAGGAAATTAATCATTTTTGGAAGAAGCAGTTTATTCATAAATATATACTAAGATCATTGGCATTATACCAAATAACAAAGGAAAAGATTTTCAAAGAATTCAAGCATTTTCACTATATAAACATCAGAGCCCCCCCCCCCACCCCCTAACACAAGAATCTCTAACCCAGGGACTCTGAAATTCAAAAATCTCAAAGAGGCATTCTTCCTCCTCATAACTATGTACATAGTTTATTGGTTAAATGCTCAGGTGCAGAAAAGAAGAGTTTTAAAGAATTTATGCATTTTCACTATATATTCAATAAAGCCTCACCCTAACGCCAGAATCCCCAACCCAGGGGCCATGAAATTCACAATTTTTGAAGAGGTAGCTTTATTCAACATAATTAAGTACTTACGTAATTATGTGGTTAGTTTATTTAATACTCAGGAGCAAAGAAGAAAATTTTCAAAGAAATAATTCATTTTTTACTATATAATCTATATAGCCCCGCCCTAGCACTAGAACCCCTGACCCTGGGGCCATGAAATTCACAATTTTGGAAGAGACAGCCTTATTCAACATAGCCATGCACTTGATTAGTTTATCTAATGCCCATGAACAGAGAAGAAGAATTTCAAAGAATTTATGCAATTTCACTATATAATCTATATAGCCCCACCCTACTACTAGAACCCCTGACCCTGGGGCCATTAAATTCAAAATTTGAGAAGAGGCAGTCTTATTCAACATAACTATACACTTGGTTTGTTTATTTTAAATGCCCACAAACAGAAAAGAAGATTTTCAAAGAATTTATGCATTTTCACTATATAATCTATATAGCCCCGCCCTAGCACTAGAACCCCTGACCCTGGGGCCATGAAATTCACAATTTTGGAAAAGGCGGTCATTTTCAACTTACCTTTGCACTTGGTTAGTTTATTTAATGCTCACAAACAGAAAAGAAGAATTTCAAAGAAATAATGCATTTTCACTATATAATCTGTTTAGCCCCGCCCTAGCACAAGAACCCCTGACCCTGGGGCCATAAATTTCACAATTTTGGTAGAGAACTCAATGCTGATTACGATCATACCAACAGTTTAACTACTTGATGTCCAGGAGTAAAGAAGAAGATTTTTAAAGATTGCACTAATTTTAGTGGTTTTTGACCAACTTCCCAGACCCCAGGGGGACAGGGACCGTGAAATTCACAATTTTTGTTCCCCTTCACCCATACATGCTATATGCCAAATTTGGTTGAAATTGGTTCAGTGGTTTCAGAGAAGAAGCTAAAAATGTTCAAATGTTAACACACGACGCACGACGACGGACGAAAACAGATAGCAATAGGTCACCTGAGTTTATCCATTTAGCATAACATTTGATAATTTCATCGCGACCAAGTAACACAGCGAGGCAAGTGGTACATCCACACAGGGGAGACCTCTACAGCAAAATACTTAAAACTGTAAGAGGTCTGCGGCTTATATTTGGGCTGTAGAGATAGTGGCGATGAAATAGATATACGGCTGTCAATACCTATTTACGAACAGTGTTACGCTTTAATTAATTATATGAACTTATTAAACTCTTCATTATTCACAGGCATTGCTCATCAATGTGTATGAAAGTGAAAATTAAAAACCATATATATTCTCTGGTATTTATTTTGTAAATTAATATAAAACTTTTTCTTCTTACACTGATGATAGCAATTTGCGTACCTGTCAAACTTAAAGATTCCATATGTGGATCTTCAGCCCATCATGTTAAAAAGTGTGATGTGTATTAGCTTGAACCCCCTCCATTCTATTTGACATACCTTTACTGTATCATTCAGTTTGAATGGCCTGTTAATTGCAAGACCCCCATGGCTCTCGTACACAACGCAGAGTTGAACCTGGGGCTCATCTTTGGTTGGAAAGTATAGGAATGAACTCTGTGCGAACTTCAAAAAGAAATCTATAGTTTAGTTTGAAATAAGTCCAACATAAAACATTTATAATTTCTTCTTTTTTTTTTTTTTTTTGAGGGGGGGGGGGATATTTTTACCATAATTAAATTTTATAAACATTTAGAATTGAAATAAATGAAAATTAATTATCCATTACAGTTTGACAGCTCCACTGATTCTTCTGCTTGGATAATCAAAAATTAATTTTCAAAACCTTGTACATATTAAGACATTTGAAAGAAAAGCCAACCAACATTGACAAATACTAGAAAAGCATTTGAGAAATGCCTGCAATTTTCTAGAAGATATAAACTTCTGTATTTCACATGTCAAGTTTCTTCCATGAATAGTACCTAATTATTGTGATCTTTACTGTTTTCCAGGATAGAGGGATGATCATTTTATCATGTTGTCTTGATTCAGAAGATAAAGTTTTTTCCTTTTAATTAGTTTCATTATTTTTATCAAAAACAGACTTAATTCAAAAATGAATCTTGAACATATTTTACAATACTTTTCAATTGATATCATTATGATCATAAAAAAATTGCTTGACAACTGAAATATCACACCATATCTAATTACTAGTTTATAGTTTGCACAAATGCATGGAAACTTGATTTACTACTAGCACAGTAACAGTATAAACTTTGTATTTTCATTCTTATGAGCTGGACACACACAGTACAAACCTATGTCAATTATGCTTACCAACTGCCTTTCCTGCCTCTGTTGCATCATCTGTAATAATTCAGGGAAAATATCAAAATAAAGCAAGCAGGGAAAGATGTGGAGCTTATATTGTTTTTCTGGACACCACACAGGGTAAGGTCAGTAGCTGAGAGAAAGAGAAAGAGAGAGAGAGAACAAGCTAGCATTAGAAAGAGAATACAAAGGGAAAATCGGAGAGGAAGAGAAAATACAAACCTCCTCAAATTCTTTCATAATCTCATCATCATCATCTCTCTGTATAAATAGATAAACATTATGTGTATTCTAAATTTTGAAAGCTTTATGGAATCATATACAGGAAACTCTTGATGGCTCAAAGTTCTTGATCGCTCGAAATGAGTCTAGGGTCCTGTTATTCATAATCTATTGTTTTTTTACTATTGATACCTTGAAGTGGCTGTGTACAGGCAAGCGTCACCTAATTAACACCTACTAGGTCATTTAAATGGCCCCAGGCGTTAGACACGGGACCAGAGTAATGGGTTGTTTATTCAGGTGACACTGTCATGCTTGATCATACCTTTACCTAATCTAAAATTAACACCGACTGTCTTACGATAATTTGGAGAAGCAGTGAAAAGTAACACCCACATTTCTACCATTCATGTAAAACACCTTGAATTAAGTACACATGTACCTTTATAAAGTTTAAACATAGGTAATCACAGATTACAAAGCTCACCGAGACGAGGCATCACCTTTATGAAGGGGAAGCATCACCTTTTTGAGACCAACTTTATCATATTATATAAAAATCATTGTTAATGATCTTAGATATTCATGGATACTGTTTTGACACAATATCGTATTGTCATATGTTAAAAAATTGCATGATAACCATATGTTCATTTTATAGTATTATAAGATTCAATGTTTATCAATACAATAAAATAAAATGTGATATTGCATCCTATGATACAATTTATATCATATTATACAATATAATATTGTTATAAATAATGATCCAATATGATATTGTAACATATGATATGACATTGTATCCTATTGTATACATTATTGTATTTGATCACATAATACAATTTATATCATTATTTATGATACAATATAGTATTATATGATACAATATCATATCACATAATACATCACAATATTGTAACATATGATATTAAATTGTATAATATAGTATGATATTATATCATATTTGATACATTATATGATATTGTATCAATTGATACAATATAATTTGATACAACATTGTATCATATCATATAATACAATATCATGTGATATTATACAATTATGGACTCTTTTGGTGTTGAATATGGTTTGTTATTCACCAAAAAAAATATTCATATTGACCGAGGCGAAGCTGAGGTCAATATGGATATTTTTCTGGTGAATAACAAACCATATTCAACACCAAAAGAGTCCATAACTGTTTTATTATATAGTCGGGATTTGAATAGATAAGACATTGAAGGCTGTTTTACGACATCATTTTCATTTGCGATATTCCAATGTTGAAAATAAAAAAAACATCTCCAGATTACTGTTTGTAACCTTTATGATGAAATGTTTTGAAACTCATAATGTAAGGATATATTAGTAGTATAAACAAGATGACATGGTCATTATAGCAAGATCTCACGCGCATGCACGTGCGCTTCGCTCTGATTGGCTGAAACTAAAGTCTCAATATCTGTTTTGTTTTACGTCATAATCATTTGAAATTTTGAACTTAGTCACACATTATGAAGGTCTACAGCATGATATGTAAGAATGTTCATGAAAGCACGTACATGCACGTGTGCTGGCAAGAGCGCGCACGTGCAACATGTGAAATTACCAATATAATGAATGAAGCCTTAACTTTTCTATTTCTTGATGGAATTTTTTGAAACTCACAATGTATGGATATATTAGTAATATCAACAAGATGACGTGGTCAAAATAGCAAGATCTTACGCGCATGCACGTGTGCTTCGCTCTGATTGGCTGAAACTAAATTCTCAATATCTTTCTTGTTTTACGTCATAATCCTTTGAAATTTTGAACATAGTCATACATTATGAAGATCTACAGCATGAAATATAAGAATTATCATAAAAGCATGTTAATTTACGTGTGCTGCAATCTGATTGGCTGAAACTTTAGATGCCTATAACTTTGTTGTTTCTCAACAGAACAGGATGAAATTTAGAATATGAATAGAAATAATGAATTCCTACATGATACTACTATCAAGATTGAATGCAAGGGCGTGCTTGCATGTATTTGCGCAAGTGCAATGCGAAAAATGAACAATGTATTTGAAAAACGGTAACATTTATATTTTTATGACTTTTTATTGATTCTTAGCTATATTATAGAATATAAAGATATGTTAATAGTTTAGACAACATGCAATGATCACCTTGCATGTGTATGCACGTGCGTTTGCGTGCAATGCGTTTAATGACAAAAAATATCATTGTAGCTTTTAAATTTTTTTTTTATGAAATCCTGCGATAACTGAGCATCTTAAAAAAAAGTTTTAAAGGAAATTGGCACAAAAAGGGAGTTGGGGAGCGTTTGGGAAACATCTGTAACGGTCCCCGTTACAATTAGAACTAGTTTATATTATAGTTAAATCAACTATGCAAGTTTGAAATAGTACAGTACTATTACCTATAAAACATGTGACCTGTTCCAAAAAACAAAACCTCATCCAGCATCCGAAACCTATGGCTCAGATTCAGCATTCATGCCTGTCAGGTGCATCAGTATCATAAGACGCATCATCCATGCAAGTTTGGTGAAGTTAGGACCAGTAATAACTAAGATATAATCATCAGAGGGCACCTGCTCCCAAAACTTTAACCAGCTCCAAAAACCCTAACCTCCTCCAGCATCCGAAACCTATGGCTCAGATTCAGCATTCAAGCCTGTCTGGTGCATCAGTATTATAAGACGCACCATCCATGCAAGTTTGGTGAAGTTAGGACCAGTAGTAACTTAGAAATTGCTATCAAAGGGCACCTGCACCAAAAATTTTAACCTGCTCCAAAAACCTTAACCTCCTCCAGCATCTGAAATTCATGGCCCAGATTCAGCATCCAAGTCTTTCAAGTCCATAAGTAGGTCCAGATGCATCATCCATGCAAGTTTGGTGAAGATAGGACAAGTAATAACTTAGATACTGGACCTGCAACAAAAACTTTAACCAGGTCCGGACGCTGATGCCGACGCCAGGGGTATAGCATAAGCTCCCCCCGACTTCGTCTCGGTGAGCTAAAAATTAAAAAAAATAATTACCTTATTCTCATCTGTACATTTGCCTTCATCTGTGTCCTTTAATGGTAAAGTAAGGGACAAAATTTAACATGTGAATATTAATGTTTCATAAATAAGCATAAGCTTCTGACTTGCTTCGCTATACATAAGTGTGGATCGAATCAGAGACTCTTGACTTTGAAAGATAAAATGTACATTCATAATGTCACACATACCGTTACAGGAATGTCTGGCAGATCTGAACTGTCATTCTTAATCTGCAAAATCAGAATAGGTAAATCCATTATCTGTCTTCTTTTACAGGTATATGAATTTAAACATACAGCATGCTTTTCCAGATAAGAGTGAATACGAACAACTTAAAATCTAAAAGACAGCGAAAAATTTCATATATTAACATTTATTTATTTGTATTATCCAAACATTAGTGGTTTGTTTGGCTACATAACATTTAAACTTGATCCAGGGATTGTATACATTAAGTTTAAATTGCTCAAGGCACCATACACCCCTCCCACTGAACAAGATGTCCATTGGCCACATCGCTCACCTGAGCAACAAAAGCCATTATATAATCAGCTTTATGGAGTCAAACATAAATCTGGACAATGAAGTAAAAGATGCTTGTATAAATGAGTTTTCTCATTTCACTCTAGATATTTTTATGTTCAATATATAGCCCCTATTGGATCAAAATGATTTCATTGTAGTATCACATTAGTTTTAAAGAAATGATTTTGAAAGATTTTTTTTCTACGTAAAATTTTGACCCTCCATTGCGGACTCAACTTGAACTCAACACTACCTGGGAATGCTTTCACACAAGTAACAGCATTTCTGACCTATAAGTTTTAAAGAAAATATTTTCTGAAGATTTTTCAATCATCATATATTTTTATGTAAAAATTTGACGCACCCTACCAATGGGGACCATGAATTTAACAATTTGAATCTACACTACCTGGGGGTGCTTCCACGTATGGCTCATGGCCAAATGTTTTATGAGAAGAAAATTTTTGAAACCCCCCCACCACCCAATAAATTTTCAAAAATTCCTAATTATCTCCCCTTGAGAGAGGGTGTGGCTCTTCACTTTTAACAAACTTGAATCCCCCTCACCTAATGATACCTTGTACTAAGTTTGGTTCTGGGGAAGAAGATGAAAATTAATACTGTTTACAACTTTGACGATGACAGACAACTGACAAATTTTGATCAGAAAAGCTCACTCAAGCCTTTGACCCAGGTGAGCTAAAATTGTCAAAATAGTTTCTTCTGGCATAATGGATTGGTATTGTGAGTAAATATTATTTGGTAAATGTCAACATTTACATGTAAAATTTCTGTTTGCTTGGTTTTTATCAAACAAAAAATCTTGGTAAAACTTCTATGATTATTGTTTAAAACAACAGAAATTCATTGTTATTATAATCTTACTGGAGATTCTTGAGGACTGGCTGTACTGCAGACACCTTTTTTCTTTTTCTGTAAACCAAAAAAAGTATTTAACTAGAGTCACTGAATCTTTAGATAAAGTAGGAACATCCAATGTTTCTCCACAAGAGAGGTATAACGCAGACACAAATCATGAGCTTTTTTCTTTCGATGACATTGAACATGCCCAAATGACAATAGGTCAAATCATGATCAGGAACACCCTCAGATCATAAGCAATCTTTGTGTGAAGTAAGAACATTCAATGTTTCTCCATAAGAAATATATGGACTAGACACGGTTTCCAATATACATGTAGACAGACAGACAGACAGATAGACAGACAGATATGGCAATTCCTATATTTACCACCCCCCAAACTTTGTTTGTGGAGTTATAAAAACAAATAAATGATGAAAATATCAATAAAACAAACTCAAGCAAAACCTACATGTATGTAGAATGTAATTGTTTAATTGAACTTGAATAATGATATAAACACTTTGTTACCATGGAATGGGAATGGAGCGTTGGCATATCTTCAGTGTCAGATGCTACATGTACCTATATTAATGTAAAAATATAGGAACTCAACATCAAATCAAACCCAAAAGGTCAGCTAATAAAGACTGCAAAAAAACTATAAACTGTTTAAGCAAAACATCACTAATGGTTATAAAAACTGACAAAGGTTTAGAGGCTTTAAAATTATGCATTAACATTTTCATGCTTATGCGCCTCTGAAAGTCTAACCTCTTGTCATGACATCACTTAAACATAAAACGCAATGGTTTTAATAGGCTGCATAAAAATGTGGTTTTATGGAAATTATTAATTTACCCGTTTAGATCGTTTTCTTTCAGGTGTACTAGTCTGTGGCAAATTTTCTGTCTTCTTTTTTCTTTTCTTAAAAAAATAACAATTTTATTAAATCAATCAAGAAGTCAATAATTGATTGATAAAAGCATGAATGGAATTAAAATATACTTGTATATAGATGAAACATTCTATCTAATATAAAACAAATCCTTGCACAAAATATTATAAGTGAAACTCACAGGCTCTTCAAACTCGTCCTCTGAAGAATCAGACAGTATGATATCCAGACTTCTCTGCTTCTGTTAAAAATCAAAAGCATAATCAACCTAGTTTTTCTTGATGTGATAAATTGATAATAATTCCAAGGTAACACTTTGTTACCTTGGAATGAGAATGGAGCATTTGCATTTCATCATTATTAACAGATGCTACATGTACCTATATTAATGTAAAAATATAGGAACTCAACATCAAATCAAACCCAAAAGGCCAATTAATAAAGACTGCAAAAATGCTAGAAACTGTTAAACCAATACATCACAAATGGCAATCAAAACTGACAAAGGCTTTAAGGCCCTTTTGCATCACAATTATATACATGTACCGGTATATTCCTCAGAGAGCCAATCTAGATGTGAATCTAACATACTTCATTTTACGAGGTCGGTTTGCGTATTCTGGAGAAAGTCTGAGGCAAGTAAAGAGACAATATGGGTAGTAAATTGCATGAAGAATTTACTGGTACTATTTTTTTTCAAAGATTTTTCATATAAATCAGTCCAAAACTAGGCACATTTTGTGCACAATAAATACACAATTTTTCAATTGAGGCACTAAAGCCCCAAGGTCATGCATCCAAAATTTTTCCAGACCGAGAGCTACAAACCTGCAGCTGAAAAATGTGGTTCTTAAAAAAAATTACAATTTTATTAAACCAATCAAGAAGTCAATGATTGATTAATAAAGGCATGAATGGAATAAAAATATACTTGCATATAGATGAAACATTCTATCTATAAAACATGTCCTTGCACAAAATATTACAAGTCAAACTCACAGACTCTTCCAACTCGTCCTCTGAAGAATCAGACAGTATGATATCGTGACGTTTCTGCTTCTGTTAAAAATCAAAAGCATAATCAACCTAGCTTTTCTAGATATGATAAATTAATAACATTTAAATAAATCAAGAAAATTGTACATTTTTGAACTGGCATCTAGATCATCAATAAACTGACTTGGTGACTGACAATAATCAGATTTAAATAATATTAACATATTGCTCAAGTATTTCTTGGATACAATGATAGCTCTTGGTTTTATAATCTTGTTGTTTCCTATTATATGAAGCCATATATTGAGATATGGCATCAAACATTCATTAAAGGCAACCTTTGAGTGTGACATGATAATGATTCGGAGTAATGATCCATTCTTTCAGGTGAATTAATGTGAACCAGATTGGCATTAACCAGAGGGGAAAGAAACATGCTAAGGACAATGTCATCACAAAGAGATATGCTATAACCTTGAACTTTAACTGTAAATTCTGTAAAAGGTCATAGCAAAAATGGTTTAATGTTAATGTTTGCATATCTAATGACTCCCTCTCCCCCACTAAGACAAGTTATATTGCGCATTAGAAAAAAATAACAATTCAATTTGCCATTTCAAACCACCAAATGAAGAGACATATAGATTATCATGTGGCATTTTTTATATTTCATCCTATATTGGTGAGATGTTGGCAAAAGACTAATGCCCCCTCCCTTAAAGACCTCTGCAAAGAAAATGAAAGGAAACAGCAAATACATGTAATTGGAATATTTTTAAGTCCAAAGGGGCATAACTCTTTCAAAAATTGCTCATTTGTACCCAAAATCAAACTCGACTTAGATATTAGTACATGTATATCAAATTTCCGTATGTACAACCTCTGCAAAGTAAATGAACAGTCACTGTTGGTAGATCGACCTACAGACAGACGAACAGCAGCAGAACAATATGTTCTCCCTTCTTCCAAGGAGATAATAAAAATGCCTTGTCCAATTTTTATGAAAATAAAATATGTATTACAGAAAATAATAATGGAAATGTAAATGATTATTTTCACCAACTTTGATCCCATGTAAAGCCCATTCCTGACCCCTGGGGGTCATGATTTAAAAGAAACTTACCGGTAACTTAAACTTTAAACAATTCATTTATTTAACTTTCCGGTATATAAATGATTTAAGTATTTTTGGCTCTTGTAAAAACAGATTTTTAAAACACCCCAATACACATTCCTAATTATTTCCCCTTGGAAAGGGACATAATGTCCTTCATTCAAACAAACTTGAAAGCCCTTCCCTAAAGAATGCTTTTTGCCAAGTTTGTTGAAATTGACCTGGTGGTTGTGGAAAAGATAAAATGTGAAAAATTTACCACATCAATGGCGAAGACAAATAAGAGACAAAATTTGCCCAGAAAAATTCACTTGAGTTGTTGTACATACCAGAGATTCTTTGGCTGAGGTGGTCTTCTCCTTTAGAATAAAAAGATTACCTTAATGAGCATTTCAATTTATATGTACTTACAAAACATGGGTAACAATTTCATTTCAAATGTTTTTCATCCAATAAAATTCTGTTATTTCCTATTTATCCTGTTTGTACTTACTGGAGATTCATTTGCTGAAGTGGTCTTCTCCTTTAGAATACAAACATTATCTTAATTGGCCATTTTTATAATGTACATTACCCTTGTAATAATTTCTTTCAAATGTTTTTCATCTGGTGAAACTTTGCAATTTTTCTATTTTTACAATTAAAGAGTACTTACTGGGGATTCATTGGCTGAAGTGGTCTTCTCCTTTAAAATACAAAGATAACCCTTAAGTATATAACAATTATATTATAGGTATGTAAAACTTTACAAGGTTTAATGATAATTAAGTTTAACAGAACATATTTAACGATTAAGTAATTGAAAGATCTTTAATATCAAATGTGCTATAAAATTGATCAGATAATCACTCTGAAATTCAATCCTTTGTAACATAAATACAATTTATGATGAAACAGTTACTACAGTGTATTTGCTAGTTTCTCATTGAAAGGGTGTTACTTAATTGTTTCACACTTTTGATTTTTCAGTTTCAATCACACTTTGCAAAAGAAGGTATACAATACACACTATAATAGACGATCTCTAATTGAATTTTTCAGAGATACATATAAATTGTTCTGTTTTGCTGCTAAAAAAATTAGCAGTTTCGCTAAAGAATGTATCATGGAAGAATCAATAGAACTTTCATAGTATGTGGAATTGAACAGCTGGTATGAACAGTCTTATATTTTTTTTTTTCACATATATATATTCATCATTCATTAAAACTTTTACATGACTTCAGCAGATGTGTCCTAACAAGGTGATTTCCCTCTTCACAAGGTACTTTTAGTATTTGTTTTCACTTTCATTGACCCTTTTTTTAATTACTCTGTGTCAAGATTGGTTTAAAAAAAAAAACTATTTTTCTTTTGCACAGCTTTTCATTTCCACATTTTCTACATTTGCAAACAATCCAAACTTTAAATAAAAATCTTAATTCATGTAAATAGTACTTCCAAACAAATAAAGAAAGTCAGTAGAAATGAAATTGTTAATTTGGAACTTTTTTCATTTGCTTCTAGGTTTGCTTATCCTGCATACCTGCTTTAAATATCTTCTGTTTCTTAATTACATTTGGGACTAATCATCATGATCAAAGGTACATCCATGGAATTGCAGAGTTAAAAGGGGATAGCAGGAAAGATTCTATATTCTTTATCGTGGTTTGTCAGTCATTCCTTCCTAATTTATTTTCTATACTTTTTCTTTATGGTTTATCAAACTCATTTAAGCTTTTCTTGCATATTTTCTTTAATCAAGAGCCATTTTCAAATTGTTTTCATGATTCTGTGGCACTAATTTTTTTTATAAATGTTCTAACAATTTAGTATTGTAAAATATATATAAATCAATCTGTAGCTTCATGATTCCTGTCAACTATAACAATTACTTGTTATCTTCACAGTAACTGCAAAATTACAAGAACCTATCTTTGTATTAAAAAGTAGCTGATTCTGGTTCATTTAAGAAATACATGTAAACAGCAATGTTAACCATTTAACCCGGATATGAACTTGGTTGGTAATGAAAATATAAAAAAAATATAAAGGGAAAAAAATCAAATCCTGAACAAAAGCAATTTAACTTTATATGTAACCAACAGTACAAAATTATCCTTACTGTGATAAGATTGTTTACATTTTTTTCCGAGCTGTAATTCAGTTTATAACAGCATTACAATGATTTCAACTAATGTATAATGTATTACACAGCATTAATTTTATAATGTGCAACATTATACCGTAACTTAAAACATGCATGTATTTCAAAAAGCACAATTTCTTTCAAGCAAATCCCTGCACTATCATATGTAATATCACACACTGAAGAATTATATATCATAACACACACGCACACCCACCCACCCACACACATGTATTTAACACATTGTTCTTTTCTTATAGAAATCAATTACAATTACTTACAGGCATGCACTTGAACAAAAAAACCAAAATGTTTCCTCTTTCCCTTCGATAGGTTCTTTAAATCTTCTACGCTTGTCGTATCTTTGAGTGCAATGAATTTGTGCTCTTTAAATACCATCGCTTCCATAGGAATCTGTGTCTTGAACTTTGCACTTAAGAGAGCCATCCACTCCGGGACGGCACTGGAAGATTTCACTTCCAGTAATAATGACGAGCTGCCATTTATCACCCTCTGCAGCCTCTTTCCACGGTTGTCCAAAAAACGGACTTCCAAAATCTGTTAATGTAATTAAAAGATTAGTAGTTAGTGCATTTCAATTACCAGGTAATTAAAAATAAATAAAATATCCCTTTTTAATAGAACAATCATGCACAGTATACATGTAAAAAAGAAATATGCTATGATTACAAAATAGTTAAAAATGGAGGCCTTCGTGCATGAAATCAGCACATTTTATATTTTATCCAGCCCTTGCAAAAATGTTCCATGGAGTAAGATTAAAATTGACGGGATTCAGCTCTGATCAACTATACACCAAAATTGACCTGAAGATAAATATATACCATTGGTCTGAAGGACCAGTTTTGTGCATTACACCTTTTAAACATATTTTGTTTCCTACATACAGTACTGATAGCCTATTATAAATATCTGATCAAACAAAGACAAAATAGTTCATAAATAACTACACACATTTAAGCTGGATTCAATGATGCCTAATTTCTTACCTCCAACCCTGAAGATTTAGTGTGTCCACCTAATCTTTTGCTGGACATTTTTTCTTACTATCCAAAAACTTGGCCTTTAAAAAGTCAAGTTTGGACTGTACCTCTGAAGAAGAAAAAATAGAACATTGCCCTTTATTGCATCTTTGATTTACCGTATGTAGTATGACTTAGGTTGAGGACAACATGAGAAGATTTTAAAAAATATGGAAAGTTCACATACTGAGGAATAAATGACTGATGGACAACAGGTGATCAGAAAAGCTGACTTGAACCTTCGGTTCAGGTGAGCTTAAAATGGAAACTGAAGGCAAGAGTCTAAACTTAGCATCTACATAGTTCTTTTAGAAATCATTTCATTATTCAGATGTACTCTATATGTCTCCAGATTTTCTCTAATAAAAATTTGCATTGTTTATGAACATACAGCACTGGCATCATAATGTGACTTCTATCTCATAATTTACCAATAACATATAATTTACTGTACCTTCTCTCTTCTTATGCAAAGATGGACTTCCTAAAGTAAAAGGATAGTCATGATAGATTTTACCTGCTAATATAATATATAATTTAAATGAATTCTTCTCTTTCTTTAAGTAAAACATATATATGTAAAATGTGCTGTCATTAAACAAATACAATTTCTAAATAATTATTCTTCCAAGAAAAAAGTTTTGTAATTTTGAATCATACACGGATATCATCTGTACTTACCATTTGGCGAGAAGCATCCTTTTGCTGACTCATCAAAAGCTGTATTAAGTATAAACAAAGTAGCATATCAAAATATCTATAGGTAAGCTATTCAAACACATACTTTGAAAATTAATAAAAGGTCACCAATTTGAAAATATTTACAAGGCTATGCATATATTTATTTATAATTAGTATTTTAGCACATTGTACTTTTGTATCTCATGTACATATGCAGTATTCCTTTGACCATATTAAAACCGATATATGTAAGTTTCAGTAGTATTTATTTAATATCAAACTTACATTTTGATGGCCCTGGTTTGACTGTGTCAGGTTCTGTTGTTACTGCAATATACATTAATTAACAATAAGTTACAAAGTGGGTTATGTACAAGACTAGTATATTATCTAATATGTACTTTATTTTTCATTGACCTACAGTATAATGCATCTCTAGCATAATACTACACTATCGTTATTACCTTTCCTTTTGACACAGACTGGGGCGCCACATGAACCACAAAACTTGTTTGTGGGGCCTAAAACCACCCCACATTCAATGCAAAACATAATTCTAAAAAAGAAAATATATAATGAACTGTATATAAAAAGAGGTCATAATATAATGACAATCAATGCTTATAATACCAGATCCAGTACAATCACTAGATATTGCTAGGTACCTTTAATTACCTACATAGCTTTATTTACCTACCTAATTATACTACTATGATAATTGATTGTTAATAATTCAACACAATGTGAAATAATCATACTTATCGATGCCTTATCACACACAAGGTGGACTGGTATACATTTACTGATTTACAGTCAAGTCGTACACAGACCAACTCGTATACAGGTCAACTCGTATTGTTAGCCTATTTACAGAAAATGGATACTTATCACTGTTTTAGACAATGAAAGTCATCTTTTGCAGTAAAATATTATATAACTTAATCTTTTCTTAAATGATATCATCTGTTGTAAGAATATTTGTTAACGTTATATATATATATATTAATTATCATGTTTAATATTTGACATAAATTGTATTTGATTATATATGCATATGAAATTTTTGTATACGAGTTGACTCTTTAGCATACCGGGAATTTTTGTATACGTTGTTTATACGGAAATTTTTGTATACGAGTTGACCTGTATATGAGTTGGTCTGTGTACGACTTGACCGGACTCCCATTTACTCAAACAATATAAATGCATGCTTTGCTTAAAACTGCCTAAAAGCTGCAATGTTTCATGCAACTATCTGTGTTCTGTGTTGTTATTTTAAAACTACATAGTAAACAACCTTGCAATTTCTTGGGGTTTTTTTTTCTTCCTTTAAATGCAAAATTGCACAAATGTATTTTCAAAAACCTACTTCAGGTTGTTCTAATTTTAAAGGATCCGTACTATCCTACTATTGAGATAAATTTACTTGAGTTTCCTCGTTAATATAATTGCTTCCATTTATGGAAAAATGAAAACAATTACAATAAATGATTATCAGTTATATGTTAATAAAGCTGTAGGAATAATTAAAAAATCTAAAAGAAATCAAGTTCAGAAATGACATTTACTGCTTCGTGAGGGTTTCAGTTTCACTCGTCAATAGATTGAGACCCGCTACTGTTTTAATGAGAAAGGAAAACAATCTAAATAAAATAAAAGAAAATTATTCATTGTGTACTTACATCGAACAACGATTCCTGATTGCAGTTATGTATGCCTATATTGTAATACGACGGTAACAAGTTATCTAGATATTTTCAAATCTTCGGAAGTAAATCCTGATCTTTTGAAATCTTGGGAAATTAGTCTTTGTCTTTTGAAATCTTGGGAAGTGAATCTTGACTGCGTTTGGAAGTAATGTATCTTCCCAGTTAGCACAACAACGTTATTAAAACGTTATAAAAACGTTATGAAAATGTTATGAAAACATTTTCTAAAACGTTATTACAACGTTATTTTGTGTGGTTTTTTAAACGTTATTATAACGTTTTGCAAAAACATTGTACTGTAATGTTTTAAAAACGTTTGGAAAACTTTTTTTAAAACGTTTTCAAAACGTTTAAAAAAATCAATTTTACAACATAATAAACAATATATTTCTTATAATTTAATAAATTTAAATCCATTCATTAATGTTGTCTAAACAGTGTTTTTTTAACACCTGCACAATAAAATTACAGTTTTCCTTCAAATGAAATTTGTACTGTTTGAAATACAAAAAGATCACAGCATCCTTTTTCCATCAGAAATTATTCTGTCGTTCACTTGGACGTCTCTATTTTCTTCTGAAAAACAAAGACTTGGACATAAAACTTGGACTAAGTGATTATCCATTCATACTCGTACATTTCTTTTTAGTTAAACATATCCATGTATTAGGGCATCTGACAACTAACTACACATGCTAGTATATAGAAATCTGATGAACACAAAGAAAGTATGTTTTGGTATACAGTTGTATAAATAAACAAAAATTTACATGTGTAAATATATCTATATATTTATGATAACCATCTTCTAACATACCTTATCATATTTAATTCCTCCGGGAAGGTATGGATCAGACCTCTTTGTCCCACCTCTCATTAAATCGTAAGTGATTGTCTTTGATGCTTTGTAAATCTTGTAAGCAGCAGCTATTACAATGTAATGTGAAATTCATTATAAGAAATGTAAATAAGTAGATGTATAAACATATTTAACAAAGGCGTCGGAAGCAAATTTAAAGTGGGGGAGGGGTCTAAACCAACAAAAACGTTGTTGGGGGGGGGGGGGGTAAGCCCGAATTTTCACTAACTCTATAATTATGTCTATCTTTGCAAAAAAAAGGGGGGGCACCCCCCCCCCCCCCGGGTCCAATGATTTATAAGTTGATATGTTAACTGAAGATTATTGCATTTTCTTAGCATTAATGGTGATAAAACTTACTCTTAATTACTGTATACAGGGAAATTTTCGCCCCCGTTTTATTTTCGCCCCTTTCGCCCTTGACACAAGTGGGCGAATTTAAGACGGGGCGAATTCAAAGAAAAAAGTATAATTTCCTAAACAAAATTGTGACTGGGCAAAATTAAAAAGGGGCAAAATTGTTTGCAAGTGTGAAAGGGCGAAAATAACACGGGGCGAAAATAACCCTGTATACAGTATTCTTTAAAAGGGTGCACTTTTCAACCCTCTCTCCAGTCTCGGTGAACTGACCCATGCTATTTGTTTGTATCATCTCCGCCCCGCATTGAAACCACTGCATTCATCTTAAATTAGTGTTATATGTTATCATGAAGAATGTGGATTTCAAAATCTTTGATTGCTGGCAAATATATAATCAAGCCTGAGATTGATTAATTATTTCCTCTCCTTTCCATTCCAAAAGAAAATAGGTTTAATGTGGCATTGTATTCTGTAATACATAACACAAATTCGGAAAAAATCTAACAAATCATTTTACATGTACATCTCTTAAGAATTATTTAACCCTGTCTTGTTAAGACCCCCTCCCACACCCATTCATATTCCCAACTATATTTTAATTATGTTCTGAAACCCCTTACACATTTTAAATACATGTAAATAAACCAAACTTTTCAAACAATAAATCGCCCGCCTAATTCAAATTCCAATGAACTTTATAAATTCAACTCAACAAACATATATACACCTAAGTCTATGAGAATGAAAGATCTAAGATTCTAAATGCATATGTATTTACAGCTACAATATGATTGCTAAATTAATATACAGAATGAATACCATTTAAAATTTAACATACCATACGTTGACATTTGTAAGATATTTCCCTATTCCTTTTCTTTGTCTTACAAGAATGCCGCCAGGTTTTTCAAAACTGTGATTCTGTTGACCTATATAGATCACATGGAAATTGTTTGCAACAAGGATCGGCTGCATCAGCCCTGGCCATGGCATCCTGCTGTGTCACTCAATTAACTCTCGATTAACACATTATCGAAGGGGGAACTTAATTCCCATAGCACAAATAAATGACTCCACTGAATTATTTAAATTCAGGAACTTTGTTGAACAAATAATTTTTTAGAATTTTTTTTCTTTTACTCTCTTTCATATATAAATATTTTTTTTACAATGGTATAAGTGATAAATATGAACACATTTCCGTGATTTTTTTTTTATTATTATTTTTGGGGGTCTAAATTTTATTATCAAAACTCAAAATCAATCATAACTCAAACTTTGGAGCTATTTATAAGAAAACAGAAGTTTTATATATATACATGTGTAACGCCTTACACTAAATAGTTAAAAACTTCTGATGTTTGGAGTTGGTTTTTCTGTAACGTTTTCACAATGTTTTGCAAACATTTTAAGACAATGTTGTATTCATGTTGTCTGGTAACATTTGTATTTCATGAAATTTATAATAATTATTACACAAGGTATGATTTTTATTTAATCATACTATTCAATTTAGAGCTACACGATTTTTTATCATTATAGAAATTCATGTTAAATGCTAAATGTTTTCTGAAAACCTCCTTGCAACAGGAACAAAATGTTATGAAAAACATTTTTAAAATGATTGTTTAGAACGTTTTCTAATAACGTATTTACAACCAAAATAAAACGTTTTAAACACATTTTATAAACGTTTTATTAAAAACGTTTTCAGATAACATCATTACAACAGGAATAAAATGTTATGAAAACGTTTTGTGCTACTTGGGTTGGCGCAATGCTATCTTGGCCGAATCTCGGTCCTATAAAATCTTGGGAAGTAATGTATCTTGGCCAATGCAATTTGGGATAGAAAATCATGGCCTAGTCAAGATGTAAAACATGGGATATATCTTGACTAAGCCAGGGTTGTCAAATCATGACCGGCAAAGATAAGAAGGCCATGTTATGCTATCAAACCAAACCTGACTTGGTCAGAGTTGCAATCATAACATGACCGATTGAATTACTAGGAATATATAGAACATGACCGCCCAAGATTGAATTACTATGAATATATAGAACATGATCGCCCAAGATTGAATTACTATGAATATATAGAACATGACCGCCCAAGATTGAATTACTATGAATATATAGAACATGACCGCCCAAGATTGAATTACTATGAATATATAGAACATGACTTGGGAGTCCCGTGTGGCCGATCATGACTTGGCCGGGATTGTAAACATGACCGCCCAAGATTGAATTACTATGAATATATAGAACATGACTTGGGGGTCCCCTGTGGCTTTCCATACATGTTATATGATGACCGCGGCCAAGATAGGATGGCCATGTTATCAATCCTGACTTGGCCAAGATAGCATGGCCATGTTATAAATCTTGACTTGGCCAAGATAGTTTGGTCATGTTATCAATCCTGACTTGGCCAAGATAGCATGGCCATGTTATAAATCTTGACTTGGCCAAGATAGGTTTGTCATGTTATCAATTCTGACTTGGTTAAGATGATGAAAATCATGACTTGGTCATGTTTGAAATCTTGACATGGTCATGATTACCATCCTGACCGGCCAGGATTGATTTACAATGAAATATATAGAACATGACATGGGGGTCCCCTATTTACCCTCATATGCAATGATGACACATGTATTCAATCCGTGTCTGGAAGGCATGTTTTATTTCAATAGATTTTTGGTATGTAACTTGCATCTCCAAAAGTATCCTCCAAAACAGACAAATAAATATTTCATCGAAGCGACGTATTTTATTTCCGATTTTAATGCATGTTTTATTTCAATAGATTTTTGGTATGTAACTTGCATCTCCAAAAGTATCCTCCAAAACAGACAAATA